GTGGTTCCTCCTATTGGTTCTAATTCTTACCTACAACATCAATAAAGTGAAAATATGTTTAATAGGAATATGTATGTATAGCCTATATCAGATTGTGCACCGTCTTGGGGAGGGAGGTGAGGAGGGAAGGGGAGAAAAATTTAAAACTAAAAAGCTTATGGAAGCGATTGTTGATAATTCAAAATAAATTAATTAAAATTTTTTTTAAAAAATTATTACTCCATGGAAGACAATAGAGAAACTTCTGATGGGCATTAGCAGTCTGCAACATAAAACCAATGAGAAACTCCAGAGAATCATAAAAGAGCGTTTATGTGATAAGCAGAGAAGGTTAGTCACCTGGTGAAAGCAAGGGATGACAGGTAAACAGAGTGGTTTAGACAAAATGAGGAAGGTTTCCAGCAAAATCTGCAAACCCCTACCCTCCCTGGCCCCACCAAACAAATGGGAGGACATGAATAAGAATAATGCAGGAGATGGCTAGGGTGTTTCTTGGAAGAAACTTCTGAAACAGTTGGATCACAGATCCATTTGCCACAAATTGCTAGCGGACCTGTTATCTCATCTATTTAGGTATGACTTCCATCATTATAGATTGCATTTCAGTTATGCCTTCTCATTTTGTGTGTTTCTTGTTGATTACAGCATTTTAAAAAATTAAATGTCATTACTTTCTTCCTGGAATATGAAAAATAACATTTAAAAACAAACAAACAAAGACCTTATGGTGATTACCAAGGCACCACCATTAGCCTACTGGCTTCTAATTCAAATTCCATGGGATGACTTTGGCATTATGACACCTCCACAGACTGGTTCAGAAGCTAGGTAATTCTCCTTGTAGAGAATCCTAGCAAAATCAGGGAAAGGCAACTATGAAAGCTATGAGATTTGACTGGGATTCTCTACAGGGAGAATTACCTGGCCTCTGAACTACCAGTTCAACCAGGTGGAATTTCAATGTCCACTAGTGGGAAGCCACCAGGCATCAGTAAATGTTTTTATAGGTTTTTATAAGGACTTTATAGGTGGTAGCTTCTCTCATTTCTACTCAGTATCACCTATTTATTTTAGACATGTGACAGCTGTCATTCAAGAGGATTATTTTTGCTTATTGCTATTTTAAAGACAGATGCAAGGATATCTGTATAGGGCTAGGGTTTACAATGTCTTTGGACTGATTTCATGATTTTATAATCAGTTTAACTGGAAATTTTCTCATTGTACCAGAAGAGTGTTTAATTAAAAATTGATTAAATATTGATAAACAGGTTCAATTCCTCCATACAATATTGCCATCTATGTTCATATACACAAATTTAGCACTGTACCTAGCACATGGAGAGCACTTTATGTTTTGTTTCATTCATTTCATTTATTATTCCTTGCAAAATAATTTTACATGTGTGAATAAACAAAACATAGTTCCCTATCCTACCAAAATAAAAGGTTATATCCTCAACTATTGAAAATGTACATGCATAACACAATGTCATGAAAATTAATGAAGAAACAACTATGACTTTGAATTTCTTCAAAGAATGATTTGTAAGCACAATATAACAAAGGATGTCTCTGTATGTTTTGTTGTAGGTAGAGTGGTGAATGTCTCCAGCATGGCGAGTTTACGTTATCTTAAAAACTGCAGCCCTGAACTACAGCAGAAGTTTCTGAGTGACACAATCACAGAGGAAGAGTTGGTGGGGCTCATGAACAAGTTTGTAGAAGATGCGAAGAAGGGAGTGCATGAGAAGGAAGGCTGGCCTACCATGGCTTATGGAGTGTCCAAGATTGGAGTCACTGTCTTGTCGAGAATCCACGCCAAGCAGCTGAATGAGCAGAGGAAAGGTGATAATATCCTTCTGAATGCTTGCTGCCCAGGATGGGTGAAAACTGACTTGGCAGGACCCAGGGCTCCCAAAAGTGTAGAGGAAGGGGCTGAAACCCCAGTTTATCTGGCTCTTTTACCTCCTGGTGTCACAGAACCTCATGGCCAGTTTGTATCAGAGAAAATGGTTGAAAAGTGGGAAGTTTAATTTGTGAATCCATTCTAGTAATACTTGAGTGTTACACATCTTGGATTTGATTTTTAACTTTGCATTTAGAAAGAAATAAAAATTACAGTACATTTTGTGCCTTTACTAATTGTCACAGCTAATTCCTATAAGGTGTTCTCTTTGAATTGCCTACAAATTATGTGAGAGATTTTGTAATGATTTGTAATGACTCAATATTTGTGATAGAGGAAAAACATGCAAAATTCAGATTGTTTAAATGGAATAAAAAGTTTTCAAAAAACTACCAATAAATCATTAAGTACTCTGAAATTTTAGTCTTTCCTGCCCAAGTTTTACATGTCGAATCTGCTTCATTACAGACATAGGTAATGCATGCAGGTTCCTTACACTAGAGAAATGCCAGTATAACATCACAGGGTTCAGGGGGGACACATGTGCTTTGGGGCATTAACTGGGCTGTTCATTATAGGCTGTCAGGGTGACCTTCAGTTAAAATACTTTTCTGATGCTATATTGCAAGCTACCTCTATTACGAAGCTTCCTTCTATGGGAATGCAAGATTTCTCTTATAATTCCCAAGATCCTTTGTAAATCTGAGGATCTCTTGATTGGTATCTTTATTACAAAGCTTCCTTCTATGGGAATGCAAGGCTTCTCTTATAATTCCTAAGATCCTTTGTAAATTTGAGAATCTCTTGACTGGTATTAATGCATTTTGACAGATTACTCAATTAAGAATATGCCTTAACAAAAAAGTTGTGTCCAACAAATGTACAGAATTAAAAAATATGCAGAGGATTTATAATCAGAATCTGGGTTTGAATCCCAGGTCTGCTACTTACTGTGTGATCTTGTGTGAGTCATTTAATTTCCTCTGAACCTTGGTAACTAACTCTCAGCCTAAACAGAATTCTATGTGAACTACAGGATCCAATGAGATCTTACCTATACAGGATCAAGTTAGTAGCTATTTAAAGGTTAAGCTGTAGTTGGAGAGCATAAGAAAATTATCTGACTTTGTATGGTTTTTCTGAGCCTGTTCTCTTTTAATCTTTTTTTCTCCTGTTTAATATTGGAAAGAGTTTTATACCAGGGTTGCCAAACCAAGATCATGCCTTCAGTCACATAAATTATGTTTTGGGTTTTGTTTTTTTTGTTTTTTTTACTGTTAATTAAGGCATTGAACTTGTGCTCAATTAAGTGGATGCTGCGCCTCAATGGAAAAGAAAATAACTCCACAATAATTTAAGTGAGTTGTTTGTTTGTTTTCTACGGGGGGCCTTCCTATGATTCTGTATGGAGAATGAGTCTTTTGCTTTCTTGAGATGGGGGGAGGGGGGCAAGGAGATACACATCACAGGTTTATATTTTGGGATGAACAATTGTTTTTACCCTGAAGTAAGAGGACACAGGTAATAAATTCTTGAGCTTGGCTTCTTACTATTACGTTCGTGAAGCTGCTTCCCTAGATAAGTGACCTAAATCCAATTCAGTCATCAATGTAGCCACTCAGGGTAATGATTATTGCTTCAATTTGAACTCCCATTAAGTAGTTCCTTAATACTTTGCAGTTCTGTTCCTGCCACTCTGAACTTCATTCTGTGTGGGGAAGAGCAGTTAACCATTCACTGAGCACTCTGAAGAATCTCTCAGAGATGTTAAGTGATTTACCCAAAGGTAATCTGTAAGAAGCAGAACTAGGACTCATTATGACTCCAAATAGAATGTTCTTCCTACTATTTTAATGGACTACTCCTCAACCCTACCCCCACCCCACATGCCACCCCACCACACCCCCAATATCAAATTGCACTTGCCCTGGCTAGTGGGTGGGTAGAGACTAGGGTCGAATGTATTCTGTGGGTCTGTACTCCTAAAACTATAGCTCACAAATCTCCAGTTGACACAGTTGGCTCAATGCAAAGTCATTTTTTAAGTTGGGTACAAAACATTATTTGATTATTAAATTAGATACAAAATATTCCCTCCAGGTACCTTGAACAAGCTCTCCCACAGCATCAGTAGGATAATGGGCCTACTGGTATTGAGAACACTTGATCAAAGCAACATATAAGCTTGTCAAGATATTAGAAGATGCTCTATTTTCCAGAGCTAAAGCTCAGCAAGCAAGCTGTGCCCTGACCTTGGCATAACAACAATCCTTTGTACTCACTATTTGGATGATCTCATCCATAGCAAAATCTCAGAATTGTCTCATCTCATTATTGCATTGCTTTGACTAACACCAGGTATTCTCTGAGCTTGGACAAGCACGGGAAAAGTACCATGTTCCTGTCAGGAAGCCTTACTATGAATCAAACTTGTCACATTGTTGCTGTTACCCTTCATTGTCAGGACTACAGCTCACAGTGTAATCATAGGTATAAGTATTGAGATCTCCCCACACTGCCTGGGGTCACCCCACTAACTGCAAGTGGGGGGTGGGGGCAGGCAGCACATATCCTCTTACTTGCAAGCCACTTCCCTCACTTTAAAATTAAACTTTCATTTGATTTCTGACTCTCCTGTCTCTAGCCTTCTCTGTTCGGCTCTGGCTATCCACAGGTTAGAGGCCAGTTTGGTCAGGATGACATGCTTTAGATGCTGCAGGGCTCAAATGTCCTTTCACTTCTCTAGTTATTCTCACACTGCTCCTCACTTGTCAGTGTCTCTACTGGGCAGATCACTTAGCAGGACTCCCTGTGCATGCTGCTCTATAGTTTGATCCCACTACTGTGAATAGCTGCCTCTTGAAACCATAGCTGGATCTTTTTCTGACTGCTGCTAGGGAATACTCCCCTTGGAGCTGTCTCCAATGACTGCCTCTTAGACTCTATGGGCCTGCTTTGTGCTGGGCGCAGTGTCTCCTACTAGGCAAGTAATTCCACTGTAAGCACCTTGGTTAGTTGGGTGGGTTGGGAAGGGGAAGAGGGATTCCTTTCCTCTCCCCCCTGCCATTTGATAGAAGCACAAAGAGAAGGGAAAAGAATAATCCTCTTTCAAGAGTTAGGCTCTTCCTATGTAACTGGCTGCTCTCTAAACTTCCAAGTCTCACACTCTGTTGGAGGTGCTGCTTTATCATCAACCTCTTCCAGCTCAGGTTTGAGGTTGGGACAAAAGGAGGCACTCACACATCTCACAGTGGAGGTTCACTTTGCCCTAACACAGCAAGGACACAAAACAGTGACACTTATCAGGGACATGGCCCTCCTTGCCTCCATTTGAAAATCCACATGTTCAGTAGGTCATCAGCGTATGAGGTGCACATGATCTGAGGCACCCACCAAAGCTAAGAGACTCTATGTACCTAGGACTTTTTCTGTCCCCCTAGAGATTAAGCTGCGTCAGGGAAGCTGGGCCCCACATCGTCTAGAGGGTTTGTGGGGAAGGGAAGGCAGGAAAGGAAGCTGTGTCAGGGAAGCTGAGGCCAAAAAGATCACATAGACAACATTGTCTTCTTTTAGGTAAAGTGTCCACATGATGTGAGAGGGAAGGAAGAAGCTGCATCAGAGACACGCTAGTCCTTTCATATCTTCTCTGAAGCTACTTCCTACCTCAACTCTCACAAAGCTGGCAAGCTTGTTTTCTATAGGCTGCCAAAGTCGTGGCCATTTTGTATCTGGATTTCCATCAGGATCAAAATCCATTAGGACTCAGAACTTCTTTACACTTAAGAGCAGGCCAAAAAGGGTGTTCATGCATCTGCAATGCATTCAAAACATTAACAACCTGTCTCTCTTACTTTCCTCTTTCTATCATTATCTCAACTGGACTGTGGAGAGTGGAAATCCATTGATCAGGAATGTCCTGACCAACCCATCTCCCCACCCATTCCAACACATGTATAGTAGGATTCTTGGAAAATGGTACTTTCATTCATATATTAATTCTTCATTAGTCCCATAATTTTCATAGAACCATAAGATCTGAAAGTGGGACAAGCCTCAGAGGCCATCTCATCCAAACTCCTTCATCTTACAGATAAGACAACTGAGTTCCAGGGAAGCTATGCCAATTGCCTAAGATCACACGGGTAGTAAACCTCAAAAGCAAGATTTGAACCCAAGCCTTCTGACACCACAGTGTTCTTTCTATTGTACCACTCAGATATTTCTACAAGTATAGCCCACTATTCAGATGCTTTCTCATCTTTTATGATTTTTATCCATGTTTTCCCATAATTCTTCCAGGTAGAAGCTACCCAATATACTAGAGACTTTACCTCTAGATATTTGATATTTAGTTGCTTTCAAAGCAACACAAGGAAGATCTCATCTTATTCCTTCTAGGCACCTAGGTGGCACAAAAGAGTTGGACAGTTGAACAACAATTCCTTCTAGTTTAATCTAAAGAAGAGGTAAAACTGGATATAACCAGCCTTATCTTGTTTGGCTGGTAGAAGTCAGTAAGTAGGACAAAGGTTAAGCTTTACTTAGAGTGCACATGCTTAATAGGCTCATAAATACTAACTCCTCCACCTCCAGGAGGGGTTAAGACACCATTTTCTGAACATTTGATGTATGTAGAAGGAGGGAGGACATGTGAAGGAGTAGATATATAAAACGTGTGCTGGGAAGTTATACACTCTGAAGTACTCAGCCAATGAGAAAACAGAGGAGGGACTCTGTGTCCAGGATTAGAAATAAATTGTGAACATTTGCTTTGGCGTGCATGTGTGTGTGTGTGTGTGTGTGTGTGTGTGTGTGTGTGTGTGTGTGTGTGTTAGGATACCCACTTTTGTAACTGCATAATAAACTGGACTTCATTCTTCCTGAGTCCTAATGAGTTATTTCTCAATGTAGTTATGTAACATGAACTGGAACTTTCCACTGTTCTCATACACCTATATTAGATATCACTACCACGCTTTCTGATTAAATGATTTCATTGCCTTAAGTTGAAACAGAGCTAGCCAGTTAAGTGAGATATATGCAAAATGAATGGGAGAAAGCTAGCGTGTATATGGACTATGTATTACATTTAAGAAATATACCAAAAATCTGTTGACCAAGTTTCTATACTCTGAAATATTGTATCTTTTTTTCTTGCCAGGTCTTCAGAAGTATTCCTCTGGACAGCAATTTAACATGACCTGAATCTCCCCAGTGGCTGCTTTATCACTTCTCTTTCAATGCCTATATTGGATTTAAATATTTTGCTTGATAGTTCAATGATTTCATTGTCTTAAATTGAAATAGATTTATCCTATAAATGGAGAGCAAAACAAATCAGATGTGATTGAACAAATTGCTGTGTATATCTTCAGGAATGTATCAGATTTCTAGTTATTTATTTAGGTTCCTAAAGAT